TGTATATGTGTATGTATATATGTATGGGTGTGTGTATGTATACAATGTCTACGTATGACGTATGTATGTTTTAATATCTACATCAAAATTGCATTTTAAGTACTAGGTTTCTCGGTTGTCAATGCAAAAAACAATGTATGTATGATAATGATCATGTCTCTCAGTATAACAAGATATAATATAGTTTCAATATATTATATGTTTGCTCGCAAACGATTCGATCTTTTCCCTGGCTCCGGAAATGGTGCTGTGAACCGGGCTCGCCGAATAGGGGGCGTGTTTAAAACATAATGATGAACCGGAATCGCCAAATGAGGGGGGCATGTTTAAGAGGTGGATATATGATGAACCGGACTCGGCAAATGGGGGTGGGTGCTGAAAATACATGATGAACCGGACTCGCCAAATGAGGGGGCGTGTTTAACATATATGATGAGCCGAAATCGCCAAAAGAAGGGGCCTGTTTCAGATATATGATGAACTGGAATCGCCAAATGAGGGGCCGTGCCAATAGCTTAATGCAAAGCAGGACCCTACAAAGTGTATCACCTAATCGCTTGATGCAAAGAAAGACCGTACAACTTGTAATTCCCCAAGAGCTTGCTGCACAACAAAACCCCACAAACTGTAATTCCCCAATAGCTTGGAGAGCCTGGAAATTGTTTTTCCTCACTAGCTTGATGCAGAGCAAGACCCTGCAAATCGCAATTCCCCACTAGCTTGATGCAAAGCAGGGCCCCACAAATCATCAGCCCTCAGCAGCTTCACGCAAAAGCAGGCGCATCAAAGAATGGTAGAAAAAAGGGATCGACAAAAATCTCCATCCGTTTCTAACCAGGCTTTTGTCCACAACTCAGCAATACAGTGACCACACACTTCACTTCTGGATCTTGTTTGCCAGATGTCAGTAGCAGCTTATGCTCCAAGCAAGGATGGGCAAGCTTGTCGAGTGTGTTGAGAGGTGCCAAGAGATTGTGCGACCCCAGAGAGGAGAGCAGCATACACAATTTCACACAGGATGAAGGCCTTCGCGCAGCTGATGCGCGACATGGCGACCAGAGGTTCTAGTGTTTCTTATGGCTTTACCACCTTGCCTCGGCTGCACCTCTGTTGCTTGCCAGTCGCCTTGTGGCGAGCAGCAGCGCGCTGGGCTCAGGTTGGTTTGCACTGAGCCCCTGGCCGGCTGCCTAATGCTGCGGGATTTGGCGGAGCAAGGTGGCCGAAGGCTGCTCACCGCACTTGGGGTTGTCTGGGGTTGGCGAAGTGATTCAGGCCAGGGTTGTGGCCACACAATGCAATCCAGGCTGCCATTGCTGGGCTATTTGGGGGTCGCTTTGCTCAACAGCTGCCCGCCGGATGACACCGACTTGTTCTGGGCTTCTTGGCGTGATATTTCCGTATTTCAATGCGGGGGTCTCCGTGATGCAGGGTTGAGGTCAGCGTTTCCAAGTGGGAAAGCTTTAGTATCAGAGCATATGATGAGAGCTCAGCGGCTTTATCAAGACACAGCCACCTCAATGATAGGACCGGGTGTTTTCATTGGTGCGCTGTCAATTTGTTTTCCTGAAGCAATCCGGGCCCCAAGATATTGCCGTGACAAGGATCATCTCTGCGCCCTGAAGCCCGAACCGTAAAGCCGTACCCCCAAACTTTGCATTCGCAACCCTGGCGTGTGGGTACTGAGGACTCCTTGATCCACGTCATGGACTCGCCGGATCTCGCGGAGATTGCGGTCAACAACTTGACGCACGACATGACTTGAGGTTTCGGGCATTGGCCTTCAGGAGTTGCATAGCGGTGGGGCTCGTTCATGAGGAGCGCCAACTATCCAAAACGGGGCCAGCTCAAACCAGGGTCTCATGCTTCCGGACAGTCTCTAGTTTTGTTGCATGGTTTGGAGTCTTTAGGTAGTGAAGTCCACGCCTTCGGGTTCACCAGTATTAATTTGATTCTGTTGCTCGGCCGCCCTTCTGCGAGGCTGTGACCAGCTTAGCTGAACTTTGCCGATCCCAGGATTCTGTCTGAGCAGGTCTACTACCAGACTGGATACCGCAGCTGGCCCGCCAAATAGCGACAAGTACTTTCATGATCTGTATTCTGCGTCTTGCAAGCTTTTGCGTCCCAAGCGTGCCGATCGCTTGGCTTCGGTTTGCATGGCATGACTTGGCCGGAGTGATCGGATTCAGGGATGCGCAGATCGCTAATCTGTGCAGGAAGGTAGGTCCAGGGTATGCGGCACAAAATTCTGCGAGGCTTACCTGTGAAGATGTTGCAATCCATCGGACATGCGTCAATGACACATGGAGTCGGTCACACTCCTCACAGGCATGCCCTACGTTCGGGCTCATGGCCTCTACACCGGCATGGCTTATGCTCCGAGCAAGCCGCAACAAGTCCTGGTGTGGCGTGCGCCGCTGTTCAGCTACTTGTCCAAATGTACATCAGTACTCGTCCACACAAGCAGCCTGGTAGCTGTCCTGTGGAACAAGAGTAGTTACGTAACTCATACGGATGCACGTGCAGGTTGGCATCAGTACACGCTCCCATACAGCCAGAAAACCTTCACAGCAATCTCTCTGCTCCTGTTCGCTGTGGGACCCTTCGAGTACATCACTGCTTTACAGTGCGGATACCGCTTGAAATGGCTGTCGTCAACGCATGCCAATTCCCAGATGGGGTATCCTTACATTCAGGGGGTGGGGCGGTGCACAAGGTGAGGTTGAGCCCTCGACAAACCTTGTGGAGTACATAGCTTGAGACTCGAAGCCCCCATGTTTTGTTGTAAGTGTTGGAGCGCTACTTCCGTCATGACGTTGACTTTACATGTCTATGGGGCTCACTATCTTACTATGGGGCCTCCAAACAGTGTTGAGCCACTCCTGACCGTCGTCTGTGCTGGAGGTTATGTCACCACAAGATGTGCTATCATGCATTTTATGGCCGCCAACCCTGGTCTCAACATCGAATTTCACTTCATGGAGGATGTGATCTGAGCAAATGCCCTTTGTCCACCGAATTTGTTCTCTGCCGTTTCGGGGATGTTGCAGCGTGCATCCTGCAGACTGCGTTTAGTGATGATTCAGACATTCTCTGCGCGAATCCAGCTGTCCTTCAACGTACACCCCCGGGCTCTGAAATTCTGGAACCAGTGCTCTTGGATTCGGGGGGCATGCTTGGAGCATGCCTGAACTAGCCTGTGCGATGCCTTTCGAAGACTCACTGTCGTTCCCCAAGCACGCGAAGATCAGACTACGTGAGATTATCTGCAACGCCGATCTCAATACTTACCAATGATGTAAGAAAGTAGTCTAGACGGCTCCTGCACCACCAAATCCTGTGCCACCTATCCCTCAAGCATCTGCGAGGAGGGTGAAAGCTTGCCATACGCTGAAGTGGCCGCTTTTAAGGCGTGTTCGAGGGCTCGCATTCGGAGGGTTTGTAAATCTTAGCACGAATTCGGACTTGAGTTTGCAGGTTTCGGTTGAGAAGAGCTACGATACCTGGCAGCATTGTAGGAGAGCTGAGCTCCGGGAAGGCTGTGGCGCTGATCCCCTGGGATCATGCCCTCATGACGTTCTACGAGCTGTGTTTCGGCAGCACTGATCGCGACAGAAGCGTCTGCGCAGCTCCGAAGCACGAGTCTTTAGAAGCACCCGAGCCTCAGTTTGTACCACCAAACGGACTGTTCCTAGTGACTACACCCAGCACTGGTCGTCCCAAACTGCGGACTTGGTCTACATGTGTCAGGTATCCTGCCCCAGAAAATGTTGTGTTTGTGTGGAACAAGACTTCGGATCGGCCACAAGTTGGCACGCTTCCAGATGTCGTCATAATGTCATTGCATGACATGGATCTTGCATCCTGGCACCTAGGAGAAGTGTTCAGGTAGCATGCCGGGAGGCTGATTTATACACGTAGCCTTGGGGGCTTTCCTGACTGCATGAGGCAATTGTGCCTGACGTTCGGACTAGAAGCTTTGGCGTTCTCAGCAGTGAATCCTGCCGAAGGGAGAGACCCGGTCCCGCAGTTGCCGTTTCCGCCGGATTAGGTACAGCGGCAACATCCCACTGCTCATGCCCGGCACGGAATGGATGCACCTAGACATGGCATTTCAGATTCCATGTCGCAGCGTGACATGCAATGCTTCAGGATTTCAACATAGCTGGAGATTGGCTCTAGCGGGTTGTGAGGCTTATGCCTTGTGCTGTGCAGGCCCTGGGCGGCGCATTTCAGGTTTTAGGGTCTTGCAAGGGTCAGGGCTTGGAGCCTCGCCGCGCTTTTGTAGGCAAGGGGTTGGCCTGAGGGGTCCGGATCCAGCTGAGCACTCGGCCTTCAACTTCTCTCTGGATCCCCTGGACCATGAACGCACGAAGGGCCCGGCTGGCTCTGGCCCTCGGACCATCGGAAATCCTTCAGACACGGGGAAGGTATCGCCTACTTTACCAGCGCGGTCAGCTCTCAGTCGGTGAGCGCCTTTACCAGGCCCAAGGGGCCTAAAGTGAGGGGATCAAGATCCCAAGGCGTTGAAGGGTACTGTTGATAACTTTCATTACGTTAATAGTTAAGGTCCGGCATACGCTGCGCGCTGTATCAAAAAGCTCCGTACCTGTTGAAACGGGTGCAGGTGCTGTAGACTGGGGCCTGGGGTGTTTAGACAAGTTTAGATCCAACCCCTGACTATCTTCAGCCCCAAGCCGCAGCTTTGCCAGGCGGGGCTTCCTGGATATACACCTCCTTTTGTGGAGTTTGCCGAGGTGAGGTGTTGACTTGCAAAGTGCCACGTCGTGGCAACACACGGGATCTGATACGTGAATAAGAATCGTAATCGTTCTGTACATGCAGAAGAGAGATCTGGTCATCAATCAACCTAGAGGTCGTGCTGTTGTGGTTTCCTGCCTTGCTGGACTCTATACGTGTGTTCGATCCTGCGTAGATCCAACGCATTATCTTGCAGTTTATTATGCAAGTAGTATCCTGCATGCGCGGGGAGGCGGATGTCACGCCTTCACCCCCAAGTGCCGCCACTGGGCTCAGCTCGGCGAAGGCCCACGGTCAAGCATTTGAGGCATGTTTGGATGTCATCAAGTAGGGTTCAGAACCTTCGTTTCCAGCATGCAGGGATTCATGTTTGTTTTCTACTATGCCTGGTTCTGGTTTAGAACTGTAGTGAACGCTTTGGAGATTGGGAGGCTTGTAGTTTTGTAGTTCAGGCTTGCCCATGCCGTCCTGGAAGTGAGACCAAACCGCCGCATGAGCAATCGAGACGTTGTTCACACGAGCCATGTTAATCCTCAAACGTGAATCGGAAGACGACCAGTCGCGAGTCGCTGCCGGCCTCGAAGCCTGGGACCCCTGGCCTCCTGCCGGAACCTGCCAGGCGGCCCGTGGTGTCGCGGAGGACAGGCATCCAAGTCTTCGGGCGTCGAGATTTTTTGGAGCGCAGAAAAGTTGTGCAAGGAGGGTTTTATTTTCAGTGTTTCGCGCTCTCTGCAGAAGGTCCCTCATGTTTCGACACGTCCCATTCAAGTCAGGATTGCTAGTGGTTCAAGTTTCCTTGAAGGCTTTAAGCCAGAGATTACAGGCCTAGGCCTAAGCAGCAACACGCAGTCTGATGCAGACAGCAGAATCCGGAGAATCTAGACACTTTCCCCTTCCTTGGCAGCGGACGACTAGGATGTGCTGAGCCGCGGCCTGGACGCAGCTGACCTCGAGACTGCGAAGCAGTGCCGCACGTAAACCAAACAATCCTGCAGTCGTTACGGGCGAAAGTTCAGGGGGGTGGGGAAATCACGGAGCCCAGACAGTGAGGCTCTGGGGCTGATCCTGCTTCGAAGGCCTTGTAAGTCGACCTTCTCTGAAGGGCAGGCCCAGGCGAAGCGAATTTAAATAGTTTTCGGTTCGGCTTGGGGAGCAGTCGGCTGTGTGGAGGGCAGAAGAGATGCGTCCTGCCGGTTGGCAGCGGCATGGCCATTTTCTGCTGAAGCTGTCGCATGACGTGTCGTTATGTAGTTACTGCGCTAAGCATGAACTCTCGCGGAATCTGCCAAGCCCGATACTGCGAAACTAGGCGAACTTCGTCTGCCCATGAAAGTGTAGTGGACCCCAGCCACCATCTAGATTCCTTTCAGTTCGATTGCCAGGTACTTGAAGGCTGCTCTCGATCTCATGAAGGAACGGAGTGAACCTTTCACATTTCTGTGGTTTGGTAGGGTTCAGCGAGATACGTTGAAGCCGCAGAGGAATTTCTAGCAAGAGCGCATGCCTCGCCGTGAAGATTCTTGGGCCAGATGCCCCACTGCGACAAAAGGATATGCGTTACTTCCTGGCGGTCGCCGAGAACAAGACTGATGAGGAAACTCGGACACTGTCTCCTCTGATCATTCCCGGTAATCGGTAACCTCCGAGCCTCCGATTGTGACATTTCCGGTTCTTTGCACGTCAGCCAGAGGACTCGTCGACCTCGATGGGCAGCTTTGGTGCACAGAGAAATGGCATGGCTTTAGATTTGGATTGAGTCAGGTTCAGGAGCGCGCAGTCAGCTCTGAATTGTTGTGCGAGCTTGGACGGATGAAGCTGTGGGTGATGCAGTGCGGTGGCTGTAAGAACGACGGGTGACTTCAGAGCCGACTCTCTGCTCCGAAAGGGTGTTGGCTTTGTTCTGATCACGGTCCGGCAGGGACAACAATGATGCGTGTGTTCCTCTCAGGCATCGTGCGTCGCTCCACATCCGAAGGGTCGAGGAAGCCTGCGCAGGCAAGCAGCTTCGGTGTGCGGTCAGACATGAATATTGGATGATGGGAGTGTACCGGCTTGTCCTTGCAGGCTGAACGCTGGGTTTGGTGTTTTGGGGGTGCGACTTCCTTGTTCAACAAGCACAATCTCAAAGGGACGTGGGTCCCTGATTTGACCCACAGAGGGTTTCAACTGATGTTCTGGAACTGCACCTACTTTGCGGATCTGCTTGGTCTCAGCTTTTAGACTGGTTCTCCATTGGTTGCTGCCCTGTTGGCTCGAAGCATGTGGTTGGTCCTTGTCCGAGGCGATACGCACGCGAAGGGAAATCCCGACACATCCGGCACCTCGTCTTGAACGCACGCCCGACCTAGAACCGCTTCAATGTGAAGCCCGGATTCTCTTCCGAGGAGTTGTGGCATCCCTACACTCCTTTCCAGATGTCTCCTGTCGATTCCAATGACTGGACACGCATGCGCAAGGCGGGTTAGGAGACGAGGTCAGGGGGTTTGCCTTGGTTTAGTCGTGCCGGGGGTCTGAGGATGTCTGAGGTCGACAATGTGGGTGCTGGATGTAGGATGCAAGTTTCATCTACTTGGCATTTGGTTTTTCATTTCCTTTCGATTGCAGCACGACGTCTCCTTTTTTGTTGAAGTGCCGTCCGGTTCGGAAGCAAACCCAACAACACCAACAAGGCGGAGTGCACGGCAACCTCGCAGTCACAGCATATCCTGTCCAGGGTACTTGGTGGCTTCGGCGTGGAGCCCGCTTTGATGCCATGAGGCCGCAGCACTGAGCGCACTCAAAAAGCACGGATAGGAAGCGGCTGATCAGCGCGAAGGGATCCCTAAAGCTCCATGAAGAAGCCCTCTGAGCTTTGCTGCCCTCGAGCTTTAATGTAGAAGCCAACTTGTGTCGGTGCAAGACGTTTCCTGAACTGTTCAAGGGATTTCAAGGGCGGTCTGTGCATCCAGCATGCCTCAATGGTTCGGAAGCGTGCGAGAGTTCTTCGTGCATTCTCCAAGTCCGCCCCGCTCGGTCCTTCAATCGATGCGATTCCCGGAACACGCTCTCTCGATCCGCGAGCTCACGAAGTTTGTGTTGGAGATACGATCTGGGGTTCTTGTGACGGACTTCTGTGCATGCATGGCAACTATGGATATCAATGAGGGTTCGAGGTATGCAATGTTCGGTCTACAGACTGACCTAAAGGCTCATGCGAAGCTCGGGGATCCTCCAAGGCCTCCTGCTCTTCCCTTTTCTCGGCGTGCATGTTGAACAGGTACTGGTACCAGCCGGCGGCTTACTTTTCTCCGGTTTAGGCCTAGGCACATCCCCTCCATGGAAGATGGAAGACGCGTGCTCTAAGCAGTGAGATGTTGCCGCTTGATGCTTGTCCAGGATCTTGCCTTAAGGGAGTGGAAATGCATGGTACACTCGGACCGTTTCCAAGCTCCTGAGCGCCTGATGAGGTACTCTGACTTTGCTCGGTTTCCAGGCAGGCATTCATGCAAGCAGTGAGTACAAGGGAGCACCAGGAATTCAACACCTCGTCGGATCTTGCAGTTGACTTTCAGTTGCGACCCTGAGTCATACCCATGACGGAGACTTGGGTGCAGGGAGTTGCCCTGTCCGTTCTGACACCCCGCACATGTCCCGCAGGCACGGGCCTGTCTGGAAACCTGGTGCGAGAGGGCTAGTTGGGGTTGTTTTCACAGTGGGCCAGGGTGAGTTGTTCAAGATGGGAAGGTATCAACTGCTGCCCTGCAGCGAGAGTCTTAGCTTCCAGTGCAATGGCCAATATAACTGGAATATGTAACAGATATACTCAGATTAAAAAAATCTTCAAGAGTCCACGAGTGCGTTCCGAGACAAAGTTGAAAAATGTAATGCCGGCGGATTAAACATCAACGTAATCTGAATCAACACGTTAGAAGCATGTTGATGTGGCCAAAACATAATCATGTGTCTTGAGTTCTAGATTCTAGCCCGCATCTCTGCGTAGACTGTCAGATTACGTGCGTGCCTTGGGTTTGTGAGTAAAATGTAGTGTTCCTGTGGACTGTCAACAAGCGCCGTTCTAGGCTCAATTTGTGCCACAGCCGGCCAGGAATCAACTACTTCGCCAACCTGCCAGATCTCCTGTGCATGTCTCGGTCTCTGGACATTCACCATGCCAGTGCAAAGATGCGGCGCTACAACGCCCGGACCTCATGGGCTAATGCTAATGGATGGTGCCTTTTCCTTGCGTGGGGTGGGGGAAGAGGGCCCTTAGGCTTGCCTCTCTACAGTTCGTGTTGTTTAAACGTGATAGGCGTGTGTCATGTGACGAGCTGTCGAGGCCCTCCAGCACGCAAGAGTGGGCATGCCAGGTTCTTCAGAAAAGCTTGTAATGATTGAAATGAAAGGAGCCTGCATCTTGTCTTCCAGGCCCTTTGCGAGGGTATGCGAAGGGTTGAAAGGTTCGACGGTGGGCACCACCGTCGAAATCTTGAGTTTCAGCAAAGCACATGTAATGAAGGCAGGGGGTGGAATGAGTAGTAGCGCTATTCCTTAGGGATCTTTCTTAATATGAATATAGTTCAATCTTCGAATTTTATACGGCCCGCATAGTATGCAATACCACATTGCAGGTTGTTTCGCAGGTTCGTGCAGGCAGAGACAGCAGGGAAGAGGCGAAGCGGATTGGCTTCCTCTTGGGCCGACGCTTCCGTCGGCCTGTCGGCCCTTAAAGTCCGGGGCTTCTGAGCCTCAGGAATGATTGGGTAGGGATGGATTGTGTAGTACATGTAGTACCGAATGTATATGCTTCGACTCGAAGCAAAGTCCTTCGCTCGAAGTCTTCACTGGCCGTTCCCCATATCATCCTAAACCTTCCCCGAGGAAGAGAGCCTCGTCCACTCGGTGAGCTTCTGGACTTATTCGCTTTCGAAGCTGCTTGCACAAAAGTCGATTGCTTCGAGCATGAACATCGCTCAGATATTCCATTTGAGGCAGTTTGACTGAGGCTTTGAGGTTTGAGAGTTTTGAACTTTTTCTTTTGACGCTCTGGTGGGGTGAAGGTGTTTGCCGTATTCACGATGCTGTCCGTTTGATGTCAGCATGTCCTGAGTTTGCTTTTTTCCAGGCTTGCATCTATTGAAGCCTGAAGCCGTTCCGAGTGATTTCTAGAGACATGTTGACGAGATAAAGTATTCACGCAGGGCTCCAACTCGAACCATTGCCAGCCGAACATGGCGGTTTTCGGTGTACAACGAGACAACACACACACACACAACACACACGCTTTTACTTAGAGGCTTATCAAGCGTGACTAGTTGCTTTTCCTGCTTATTCCACAGCTTTCTCATGCTGAACGCTGTGAAAAAGGAGCAGCAACACTTTACCAGGCCTCAGGGGTCTACGGGTGCCATACGATTGGGAGCAGTCAGTAAGTAAGTGTTCCGCACCACCGCAGCTGCCCACAAGCATGGCTTCATCATCTTCCGTGCTCCCCGCCATAGCCGAGGGGCACGTGCAGGCGCTGCTGAACTCGAGCCCTAAAGTTTTATCCTCTGGGCACATACTTGCGACATGTAGATCGACAGTTCTGCGAGCCAGATCAAGAACTAGAGCTGCTGCTGCTGCTGCTGCTGCCGTTGTTGTCGTTGTTAGCCATGCCCGGGGTCCTTTGCTGCGTGAGAAGTATGGGCGTTGGCAGAGCTTGGGTTTCCGGGTCAAATTGGTCTAGATTTTCCGTCTGTGACAATGACAAAACCCAGGAAGGCTCAGGATTCGGAGCTTTCAGTTTGGGGTTGGGGATGGGCAAACGCAGAGCTTCGTTCGGGACCTGCGTTATCTGAAAACAGCGAGGATTCGTGTCGAATTGAGTCGTCAAAGACCCAAAGCGTTTGCATTACGATGAACTTGAGATGCCCAAACCCAATCTCGGGGCCTTTGCAGGATTCGGCAGGGGCGAAGCGCTTTATGTCAGAGCTCATGAACACACTGGCAGGAGCCTCGTTTAGTCTGGCTTCGATTGTAGAAGGTAGTGTGATGGACGCATTGAGGCCAATTGGATTCTTTAGTTGCCAGGACAAGAACTGCTTCAATTTCAGTGCGATGTTGACATTCCGGGTCGCTCGAGGGTATAGGTTGAGTGCGCGTGGGTTCGTAAACATTCCCGAGGCACCTCAAGCCCTGCGTACTGCTTTAGGTCCGGGCCCACATCGAGGACGGCCGCATCATAAGTGGCCAGCTGTGGTGCTTCGACCAGCTGAGGCCTTTGCTATTTTTCACACACCCAGTGGCCGCAGTCTTCAAGATTTTGGGCTGCAAGACAACAACTTGAGGATTTATGCGGGCGTAGAGTTCAGGATTTTGGCTTTGAGCCTGCCAGGTGCTCAGGGAGATGGTGGGAGAATTATCGTTTCAGGCTGCGAGAGCTTTTCGAATTCAGCTTCTGAGGATCGGAGGGCTCATAGTGTCATAGACTTATAAGCTTGGTGTGCATCTATGCAGAAGCGCGGTGTCGTCACTTGTGTGACCCATCCCCTATTGAAAAGAGCATTCACGCAGTGTCGGATCTTGAAGGAAAGGCTGTGGAGTGCTGAGTGCAAGGGATTCATTTCGGGTCAGAGACCTTCCGGCTGGCAGCCTGCAGTGGCCAATCTGCCCAAATCGGACCTATACTGGGGCCAAACAGGATGTGAAACAGGTGTGGGCTGGCAGCACGCAGGGGCCGCGCTGGCAGCGCACAGCGGTCTTATGATCAGATTTTTTCGCTTTTCGGTTTAGACGAGGAAGTCTCAGAATGTCATATTGATTGAAACAAACATTTTGACACGGCGAGGCATCGTTTAGCGAATATAGACATAGCAGCCCGCAAAGGTTTCGCAGCCTGTTTGGGCACAGTATAAGGCTGGTTTTGGTTGCCAGGACAAACCCCTTTTGAGCGCGTTATGGTCGCTGCGTGCTGTGGGGCAAAGAGTCAACACCGCATCTGCGGGCCGATAGCCCGCAGCAGGTGATGCGCCCAAACAGGATGCGGACGCCGGGCCCAAACAGGGTGCGGGCTGGCACCGTGGCCGCTGGCCGTGCACAAACAGGCGACGAAACTGGTGCAGGCTGGCAGCACACCGGCCATAATGCGACCAAACAGTTTGTAGGACCGTTGTTGAGTTTTACGGCATGTTGGGGCTTGCGATCCTTGTTTTGTGGCTTGTTCCGATGCAGACAGTGCAGCATGCATCCCTGACCTCTATTCCGGCACGTGAGGCTATGAAGCCCAGCTTGGCAAGCCTCAGCCCCCATGCGCTGCGGGCCAGTGTTTGGTTGGAGAATGGCCTGTGGGCTGCCAGCTGGTGTTTTGCAGCCTGTTTGGGCACTGGCGGCTGCGGCCTGCGGGTCGCCAGCCTACACCCTTTTTGACCGCATTTTGGCCGCTGCGAGCTGGCCTGCTTGGGCAGTATGGCCACTGGGGCTGCCAGCCTGCACTGTAAATTGCGGGCTGGCAGCCCGCAGCGGCCGCGGTGTGCCCAAACACTGGCTGGCAAATCGCCGCAACGCGCTCAAGCAACGGCTATAGGGTTGTTAGCCGTTGCTGAGATGTACGGCATGTTGAGGCTTGCAGTTTGTGTTTTGTAGCTTATGCTACACTTGCCTGTTCCAATGGGTACAGCGGGGTTTGCATCCCTGACCTCTAATCCGGAACTTGAGGCTATGAAGCCAAGTTGCAACCAAGCAGCTTGCCAACCCCCGCCCGGGACAGTAACCTTTGCAGGAATCTCATCCTCTTGAACGGTTTCGAGACTCGCACCGAGCAGGCGAGAGCCAGATGAGCTTGCCAGTTTGCATAGTTCGGTTCAGTTGCATAAACGCAAGCGTGCAATTGTTGACCCCAGCCCCTCAATTTTTGCTTCACAGTGCCTCCGCTGAGTCAAGCCGCAAGGACGGACAGCAGCACCGGTCGTTGGGGCCACTGGTCATGGTATGGGCCTCCTTTGGCATCATAAAACTACGGACATCGCTGACATCGCTAGTGTCCCTAAGGTGCCAGGAAAATACATCCTGAAGCTGGAGTCCACCAAGGCGGCATGTGAGGTGGACCGCCATCGTCAACCGGTTGTTGCTGTTCACCTCGCTTTTTCAGGACCTGTAGGGTTGTGGCCTGTTGCATACCCATGGACCTTCAAACAGCAACTTCTTCTACCGTATATACCCAAACACTTGCGAGGTGAGCCTACGGGTTCAACTCGTGGTCTTTGTTCCAGGCCGCGGCTGCGGCTACCGCCAAGCAGGCGGATGCAGTGAAGTGAGGAAGAGAAAAAGCTTGGATGCAATGGAGTTGGAGAAATGTAGGTCTGTTCTGATACTCCATGCCTGAAGACTGCTGAAAAGGTGAGGCTCACAGAGAGTGGGGAGATCTTCAGGATTCAATCTCCGAGTGTGTGTGTGTGTGTGTAACTGCATGACTGCTTACTCGTTTGCATAGTATAGCTTTAAGCATCATGCATGTTGCTTCCGTCTCCGGATCGCTTTTTCCTTCGTGCCAGCTCCGGCCCGAAAGGCTGCTCTGCACTAGTTTGCAAACAGCATGGCCCTCTGGTGGTCATGCAGTGTTGCTGAGCAGTAGATTTGCGTTTCGCGTCTGGAGCCTAAGCGCCTGGCCCACTTTACCCGGATGGACCCAAAGCTCTCGCGATCACTTGTGGCTGTCTTGTGGCGATTGCGGCTCGAAAGCTTTAGCTGGATCTCCATCCCTCTCCCCGGGGCGCAGTGTGGCCCTTGGCAACCTGGGGTTGGGCCACAGGTGTAAGCTTGAAACCCTGAAGCTCTTCAAGCCCAAGGCCAAAAGCAAACATTCTCTGACAACCCAAGCCGAGCACTAAGGGTCAATGACTTGGGGCTCAGGATGTAGAGCCGTTTCCATCTTCATAACAGGGCCAAGTGTCGTGGGATGGCGACTGGGCTTAAGGTCTGGAGGCGTAGCGTGAACAGGATTCTAGTTTCATGGGCGTGGTTCTCGATTTGCAGTAGAGTCAAGCACAGCCAGTTTATTTCAGGAGTGCATTTCTGTGTAAAGCTATGGTTGATGCCTCTGGCTAGGATTTCGAAGGGTTGGCAAAGGACACTTGTTGCAATCCGGTCTGTCGTCACTGCAATACGAGGAGGATCAGAGATTTGCCAAGATGCCAACAACGGCCGTCATGCAAGTGCGGGCACAGGCCTGGAGCTGGCAGCCGCAGGCCCTGAACACCCGTGAACCCTGCAACTCCAGCATCTACACGGTGCGCAAGGTCGCGGGATTGACAAAGTCCGCAGCACAGCCTTACTGCCGAGGTGCCCGCTTGGGGCCATGGATGGCGAGGACATGTCAGGGTATTCGGGGTGGAGGTGTGAACGGGGTTGGGGGGGGGGGG